CAATACCCCCCATTTAAAACATTTTTCCGTCATTAACGGAGATATCATAAATCAAAACAGAATTCAGAACAAATATCAGAACAAAATCCAGATCAGAAATCAATACAGAATTCAGGTTATGTATCAGAATAGAATTCCATTCGGAAATCAGATAAAATAATTATATGATTAGGGAACACGCCAGAGTTTACAAATATTATTCAGAGGTACTGGATAATCTTAGCAAGTAGAGAAACTCGGATCTTCAGTATACCGATAGAATGTCGGAATTTAGAATCACTATTATAAAAAGTTCAATAACTGACAGAATCATCAGTTATTCAGAATATGAATTATCAAGATCATATCTTATTCGGACAGTTTTCAGAAGTTGTACGTAATCAGAAGGGTATTCAGAATCTTTTACATCCATATCAATTGATCGAATAATCGAACAACTTAACAACGAAGATTAAGAACCTTAACAATCTATGTCGACTGGTCAATTCATTTTCCTTCCAGGGTATTTACTCTTTAATACCACAAATTCTTGTTCATATCATTTTCGAAATTAACGTTGAATAAATCTTCCAATGTCTTTATTTCATGTTCACGCTTTCACCATATCATGAAATACTGACGTACTTGATTTTGTAATTCATAATCCATAAGAACATTACATCATATATGTTCATTAACATTTCCAGATTCATCCAACTCACTTATTCAATCCTCAGTCCTTGTGGTTACTTAATTTATTTAGCATTCAAGTCCATTCCAGATACTTCGGGATTTTCCAGAGTAACTCAAGCGTTCCTGATTTTCAGACACATGTTGCACTTCCGTTCCATTCAATTTGGTCTTCGTGGTTGATTTGTTGAACAAACGTTCAATTCTTAGTACTGAATGCGATCCAGAGTTGAGCTAAGTTGAATACTTCCAAAATTTATCATCGAGTCAAACTTAAGAAGACGAACACGCATTCCAGTAATATCTATATCGTTCAGGTACTGGCATATCCTTAAGATTGATCAATTTACTTAAGCTGTGATCCATAACTTCTAAAGGTAGTCCAACACCTATGCTTATTTGGATTCCTTAATTAATCCAAGGCATTTACTTAGAATAGGACACAAGGGTATTTTGGTAATTTTGGTGTTCATTTTTATTCTATTTATTTCAGAGCTCAAAGATATCCAATCATTCTTGAGCTTGGTGGTATTCTTGGGTCATTTCCATTACAGGGGTATTTTGGTCATTTTACAGATTCATCGTATTTCAATCATTTCGTTCCGTCTGATCTTACTATTAAATTCAATCTTATCATTTATTTCAGTCCTTTCGAACAATTATGACAACAGAACACCCTGACAAATTATTCTTCAGGTATTTACTCATAACTCGGATATTTCTGGGTCAAGTGTCTTCTCAGATTTTACAAACGGAATATCAAGAATTTTCCTGAACTAAGTCAAGATCTTAACAATCAAATCCGTACTTAATCGAGTTAAGTACGAATCCTCAAAGTATTTTCTCATTCAGGGTCAACTCGGACTATTTTACCTCTCAAGGGTATTTCTGTAATTTCTTAACCAGATAATTTCGATATTAGCTCTTAACGAAAATAATTATAATTTAGAGATCCTATGATTAATTGATTTCTTGAACACTCTGATCTTGAAATGATTCCCTTAACAGACTTCTAGTATCCTTCACAAACCCTCATAAGACTAAAAATCGGTTATCCGCATTTCCTAATCAAAACTAGTATTTCTTATGCACATCAATAATTTTACCGGATCAATATGTCTTTTCAGAGTTATTAACCAACTTCCAGGGACAATTCTTGTCATCTTACAACATAAGGGTATTTTCGTAATTTTACCCTACCAGATTATTCTCACAATTTCTCATCCAAGTACCTTTAACACTTAACCTTTGATGAAATAAATTATAAGTTGCAGATACAGGGCTGATTTCTTTATCACTAATCACAAACTTGTAATTTAATCTAACAATTCCTCAATCTCTTATATTAGTCATTCAATCCGTAATCAGTTACAGAATTTCTACATCATATCGAGTGTATAAATTATTCAACTCCACCAAAGTGACCAACATTATCTTGTTCATGCATTTCAATATCAACATATTCCATAAAGCATAAAGAGATAGTAAAGTATTACCTCAATTTTCGTGCAATACTGATCGACCATAAAAATTCCATTCGAACGGATTTGATCTTCAATTCAACTTCTAATAATTCCTCAGATACGTATCAACATAAATTATATCAAAAACAGAGCTTAATTACGATAAACGGGTCGAATCGGGTGATAAATCAGTGAAAAACAGCTTACCGGGTTCGAATTTGGCGAAACGGACTTCGGATTCAAGACATCGAAAGCATAAAATATGACTTTTCAGAAATTTGGAATTTTCGGTCAAAATCAAAGTCAACGGGTTTGACTGGAAATTTCGAGGCCTTCGGTTTGAATTTCGAAAAACGGACTGCGGAATCGATTTGGAACATCGAAAAATGTCAGGATAGGTATATTCGGTCAAAGTCAAATGTCGTTTAATCCCCAGTCAAAACCCGTCAAAGTTTTTGTCAACAGTGGTCAACGGTCAACTGTCAATGGGTCGGGTCAACGAGTCAGGTCGGGTTATGACGGTCAAACCGGTCGCGCGTGGGGGCGCGTGAACAGTGCTAAATTCCCGAAAAAATTCCTAAAAATTATTTTGAGCGATTTTGAGATACTTACAAAGCTCGGTTCAAATTTTTGAACGGTGGAGAGCTCGATTTCACCGAATCGGAAACTTTGACCGCTTCACCTCCTTACGCGCCGCCGTCGACAGAGACCAAGGATGACACCGGCATACTCGGAACGGAACAAGGAACACGATGGTGCGGGAGGTGTCGTAAACGGATGACCTGATCATCGTGAATCGATGAAAAACCAACTAAAATCAAGTTATTACCGACGGTACTTCCGACTGAAATTAACGACGAACGGTGACGATTCGCGACGAAAGGTTTGAGGGGTTTTGTTCCTCGGTTGACAACGAACACGATGGTGGTTTCGGCTCGTCGATCGGAGGTCGGACGGCGAGTAGATCGGAGTTGAAAGGGGTTGTTGGAGAGGGAAAACTGAAAAATCTCTGTTGAACTTGCGCACGGGGAGTTTATAATTCAACATATAAAAAATGGTTAAATCATGGGTTTAGCCACTGAATTTCCTTCACTTCATAAAACGGTATGCCAACTTTAAAATTTTACAACTTAACTCACTGTTTCTTTCAAAATACTAATTAAATCCACCACTTTATAATTTCTTAAATTTAACCCTTAAATTGGGGTGTTACAATGTTGGGATAAAGCTCTAGGAGACGTGTATGTTTTTCATGTCTTGTGCATGAGTTGTTAGAAGTTCGTTGAGAGCTTAGAGGTTGATGAGCTGTCATTTCTAAACTGTTCTCTCTCACACACACCGTCAGCCTTTGTATTTGTATAAATAATTAGTGACTGCACTAATTATTGTATAATAAAATTTTATATTTTATTTTATTATAAAGTTTAAATTTTAAGTCTAAAACATTAAATAGGATATATGTCATCGAAATATACATATTATATAAACTCTAATTTATACAATATGTGTATCAAATATTTTTTTAAAATTATATTATTAATTTCAAAAAGAAACATAAAATTAGAAAAATATAAATATGATAGAAGACATTTTGCAAAATAAACAAAATAGAATAGAATAACGAAGGTTAAAGTGATGTAACAGATAAATAGGATCGATTTCTTCTTTTAAGCCTACTTAAAATTAAATAAGAAATCATATGTAAAATACAACCTAAATTAGGGTGAGTAAAATTATAGTTAATCATTAGTTGTTCCTGTGCTGGGAAAAAATAAATTTTTTGACTAAAAAAATTCAATTAGATTTAAAGTTTTATAAACTTGACTTGAAAATAATTTAAATTCAAGTCAGATATAAAATAAAACTCGAATAACTCAAACAAATTTATAACTAGTGGATTGATTTTCAAGTCTCAGTTGAGTTCTTTAACTCTGCATGATATATGTATATACATATAAAAATATATGAAGAAATGTATATAGTATATTATATAGTTATAAAATACCGTTTAAATTATAATTAAATAGTACCATAACATTACACTTATTACAATCAAATTTAAACAAAAACTCGAACTCGAGTAAAAACAAAATTCAAATAAAGTTTGAGTTATAAAATGGGACTCATCAACTCGACTAACTCAACATTTTTTGACTCGATTCGACTCGACTTCATTGAATACTTGCCCCTAACATGAATGTGATAGAATAGAATTAATAAGAAATGACTCAAAGTGATACAATGCGGAAAAAGGAAAGAATCAGAGTTCTGCTCTTTTTATTAGTTTATCCAAATAAAGTTGAAGTAATATGAAAAATGTATCTGAGTATTCCATTTTCACCACAGCATACATTTCGTGTCATTGTGTGGTACCCTGCTTGAATATCATATCTATCAAAATAAGAGACAAAGTGATGAAAAATTCTTAAAGAACCAAACTGAAAATTCATACATCTTACAGGGACCAGTAGTAAGCCGTAAAAGATATGTTCCTTATTGATTTCACGCGTATTTATTACATTATAAACATGACACAACCATGGTAGATCTGTTCCTCACTGTCCTTCTATTAAATATATGTATGAGATGGTTGATATAATTAAGTAAAGGCATATTATTAAAATTAGTCTCCAACATTTATCAAAATGATCATTTGCCTTCTATTCTATTTTCAAAGCATTTTGGTCTATAACATTTCATTTTAAAGCAAAAAATTCCCTAACATATGACAAATAATCATTTTGTCCCTTTTTCTTTTTTGGGACATTTTTGCCCTCAACGTTTTATTTTAGGTTAAAAAGACTTATTTTATGGCATTAATCATGTGTTAACTAATGTTTTCATTTATAGAAGAGTTTTTACCTCAAAGTCTAATGTAGACGGCCAAAATGCTCAAAAAAAAATAGGGGTCAAAATGATCTTTTTGATAAAAGGTAGGGGCTATTTTTGACATTATGCCTGTCAAACATAAAGGATGAAAAGCAGGCATCAATTCTGTATGAACTTGAAAGGAGGCTTCTCAAGAGCTGGTGATGGATCATACTTTCCATAGTCTCTCGTGTTTGCTCTAAGCACCCTTTCATGGGCTCCACTTCCTTCATCACCATCCTGTTTATATATTGTTTTTAAAAATATCATAAAATGAATCAACCAACATAAAGTAAGAAAAAATAGATATGCAAATGATTAAATTTACGTACGGACGTAGTATTTTATGTTATGAAACGAATTTTTAAAATTGTAGAAAGGGACGATTGGACGAACTTATAAAATTAGAGGGAGAAAATAGATTTTCAATAAAAATATATATATATAGAAAAAATTTAAAATATATGATAATTTTAAAATTTCAGTGAACTATTCTGTCCTCATCCACCTCCTCGCTCCATCATCCCTGACTAAATTTAATGAAAAACAAAGTATGGGATTAGTTAAAAACTTTGGGTTTTTTATTTAATTAATTGATATGTAGAATTTTTTTATAACTATCGGTATTCAATTTATTAATCGATTAATTAAATCTAAGTATAGTAGAGATTTTTTATACCATGACCCTTTTAACTTATTTCTAGTTCTGTCCATACAGAATGTTAATATTTAAATATATATATATATACGGTATACCTCAAAGCCTGCATTTATTTCCTTAGCCATGTTTATGACCTTGGGTCGTCGACCTGTAAAAGATGATTTTCAGCATATAAATGTTGGAAGATAAAGTGTAACATACGTACATACATACATCATAAACCCTAATAGGACTTTGAAGCAAAAGAATAAAATGAATATTTTTCATTTTACGAACTAATATTTTTTCTTCAGTTTTAAGCGACGAAATATGTATATTAATTACTTTTATACTAATTAGTAAGCTGCTGTTTCCTTCTTCGTCACTAAGAGCTTAAACATTTCATCGACAAATCGTGCATGAGTTTGAGCAGATTAAAGAAAAAGAAAAGAGGGAGATAAAGCTCACCGGCCGCCATTGAAGTTGATAAAAGAAAAGCTGAAACCATAAGAAAAAGTAGAACAATCTTCTTGTTCTGCATGTTTAAGCAATCTCTCCTCTTTTCAAAGCTGTTTTCTTATTCAAGAGAGAATATGAAGCAAATGAGAGCTTATATATATATATATATATTGCAAATAATTCCACACTGACTAAGTGGCCACTGGCCATTGAACTAGAAAGAAAAAAAATACTTGTATTTTATTGTGAATAATAATGATAATTATCATTTTAAGATAAAATATTTGAAAGGTGGTTAAAAAGGTGGAGGAGGCCACTGTTCTTTGTTGGGGCACTTTTTAATTTAAATGATTAGTGGATATATAGTTCATTAAGGTAACACTGAGATATTTGGTGAAAAATCATAATATTCTTTCTTGTCTTTCGTCTATGAATCTATAGAGTTATTAATTCATATCTAATATTTAAGTTCAAATAAGAGAATATAAAGAGTAGTCTCAGTAATAAAGAGAATGTTGTTTTTCTTAGGTAACTCGGGTTTAAATAGTTTTTATCTACAAATTTACATGAATTATCCATATTTGAAATCGAATACAAATATTACGTTATAATCCATTTTCTTTTCATTTTTTAGTTACTCTCGTCTCGCTCTTCACATTTTAAGATATGTATTACCCCTCAATTAGTTAACAAATGACTGACATACATGTGTACATGTATTTATCATTGGGTATGCTTGAATTAGCATAGCAATGGAGGATTAGATTAAGTTCATGCATACATCATCCTCCACTTACATAATCCTATAGGCATGCCTGCTGCTTTAATGGAGTCTGAGTGTATTATAAGATTACATGTTTATGATGTTATTTCATGGAAAGCTTTTTGAAGCACTTGTAATCATGCAAATTTCAAGTGATTTGATATAGATAAGGTCTCTTTTAAACTTGGAATTAATGATTTGCACAAGGGTTTTAGAGGAATATAGGTGTCAATCGTGTCTTTGATCATCCATTTCATCTAGTTGAAGATAAGCATTGAACAATACAACAAAGTTAATCATAGATACTAGATTCAGCACATTGTACAAGAATAAACAATCCAACAACTTCCAACAAAACACATATATCGACAAAAAGAAGCGGATACCCATCGAGTATCGAGATGAATATGCCGGGGAACCTGTTTATAGCTTTGTCATGTTGATGTTTTTGACGAAGATAGAGGTTTGCAAAGAAAAACACATATATGAAGGAAGATGGAGGTCGAAATATCGGTTTGATGGTATTAGAGGTTGAAGATGAAGTTGAACAGAGTCCAGTATGAACCAAGAACACAAATTACAACCATCTCAAACAAAACTCAGTATCAAGCTGAACTACAGACTCTTGAGTATTTCGTATTCAAAAATTGATCCAAGCGTTTTCAATCCTTGGCTCGTAAAACCTGAACTTCCTTAGGTACATCAGGGTCTTCAAGTACCTGGATAAAAAGAGATCTATAGCAAAGATACCAAAATTTGCAATGATTTTTGGTATGAATCACTTGGATAAAGTTAGGAAGAGATTGTTTTCTACTCACTGCTAAGCAAACATTAGATAAGGTTGTTTCAATCAACTACATTGATCTTCCAAAGGGATTGAAGCATGGCGTCCTTTCTATCTTCAAAGGTTTTCATCAAGTTTTCTTCTGATTTGTTCTCCTTGTGTCGCTTTCTTCAGCTCTCTTGTATCTGGATTAAATTAACAGCACCTACAAAAAGGAGATATACGTGCACGTACTTGACTCGTTTTCGTTCGGAAATTAGAAGTCCGATAACAGACACAGGCCTTGAATGCCATCAAAAACAAGATCTATGACCATTAAATTGCAGAACATTGTACCTGAGGCTGCAAACTTGTGCTATATACATACGGTGACCTTTATCGCGCACCCATTCGGTAAAAAAGGGTACCATCATACGTTTCTTTGCCGAGTTCGCTCGCACCTTTCCTCGTGTAAACATATCCTATAGTCTGTAGCATTTGCTCACCAATGCTGGAAGTGTGAGAAAACACAAGTTAATGGAATAGTTAATATGTAATGGTAGTAAGTAACAAGCTTACCAGCTTCAAAAGTCTCTGTGCTTCGGAATTTGCCCAATCAATGAACTCGGTGGCATAAACCATCAACGTACGGCTGGATCCTTTTTCAGAGTTTGATAAGCCTTTCTTCCCTTTCTTTGCAATGTCTGCAGGGGAATAGGGATCAAGTGTAACTTGTAAAAAACCACATGTAGAGGAAACAATGAAACTCAATGAAAGGGTTTACCGCAAGCATTTCCTTAAGCCTTTGCAAGCGAGCTTCCCTGTCTAGTGAAGTATCTTCAAGTTCAACAGATGCCAAAGTAGCCATTTGCAGTTGTCCAACATATTCATCGAAGTATTCGCTTCCGAAAGCCATCCCGAACACGGCTGCAGGATCATGGAGCCTCTGTCGCCGAAAGAAGATGAGGTAACGTTGAAGGAACAAATAAGGATCGATCTAATTTTTTAATATAAGAATGTAACTTTGAAAATCACAATCAAAGGATATAAACTTACTGTTGGAGTCCTGCCTTTCCATGTTTGTCATATAGTTCCCGTTTGAAGGATCACTTAGAACCTGGTACGCCTCAGAGAGTTCCTTCAAGCATATATAATCAAACGCCGAAGATAATTACCATTACATTATTGATAATAAAACAATAAATCGAACCAAAAATTAAAATATTATGTCACGGTGAACCACTGTCTTAGAAACAATATAACGATTGCTTACATGAATTTCTCGTCAGCTTTGGATCCCCGGGGTTTTATCGGGGTGAACTTGCCTAGCCTGAACACCCCACGTAAACGAATCATGCAAATAATAATTCAGAACATTTTCATTGCCCAGTTCGGATTTTCGACAAACACTTGGAGGGCAACTTTTACATCCACGAAAAATCCAGATTCTAAAATCATGGACGAATCTTTTATGGGGGGAAACCCAGAAACGTAAACATGATAGGATTCAAATGAAAAACTTACTTTTCGGTAATAAGCCTTCTTGACTTCAGCAGCGGAGCATCAACATTGACACCCAATACATCGTAATATGAGGTATCCTTCATCTTTGTTATAATATTATCTTGGCACTGCTTTCAACATTATAACTTAAAATTAAAAAAAATACAACAAGATTAATATTAATAACAATAATAATATCATAATTTAAATCAGAATGGAACTTGCGTGTTGAGGAGTGTGAGATGAGGAGAACAAAGAATTGATTGATGATTGTAAGGAAATGGAAGATGACTAAATTTCCTGTCATCGGTGATCGGATATAAATGAAATACAGACATAATGTGAAATCTAAAGACAATATAAATCCAGATTTACGTGAGTGGAGATGTCTGGGTGTTCATCGGCTATCCCATGCGTCGGAAACTTCATTGCTTCGTGTGTCCGTGTTGTAATGGACGGATAAACAACGGAAAATCCCTCTGTACCAAATCTTGAGGAACGTTAGTTAAAGAAATACTATAAAATTATTTTCGGCAATATGTAAAATTATTTATTGCATTATCAGATATGTTGTCTTCTAATTTTAAAGGTATAAATGTAGATGAATGATACATCATTCACAGTATTAATTAATTTTTAAAATAAAGATAAAATATTCACCTCAATTTACCAAATATAATTTTGACGTATTAAAATTTATGATTTTGTTAAAAAATATCGCAAACTATTCTTTATGATTTTTTTGTCATCCTAATTCCAAGATTTCACCTTGATTAATCCGAATCGATTCAGATTACACACCTGACTCTAGTAGGTGAGTCTCCCAGTTGAGATGGTAAACGGGTGGGCATGTGGAT